GCTTATCCAGATGTTCTACAATTGCTGCACCACTGAAGTCCCACTATCGATCTGTGCTGACACTGCCTGGAAATTTGATGTTTGGAAAAAAACAAATTCTAGTTGACCGACTTTCACAAATGGCAGTGTCAATACATCATGATATTTATCACCTTCGTGTGTCAAGGCTAGGTGTTCCCGTGGTATCCTGCCATGCTTGGCTGCAAACTGATGACTCCCTCCAGGGCACCTGCAACCTTCCCAGCATGCTTTGCATGTGTGTGGTGACATCGCCGTCATTCTCTATATGCAGGCCAAAGGCATTACGTCTGCACCCTAGCTTGAAATATTTAAATCTTTCGTAATGACGAATAACAGATATTTAGGGCGTCCACAGGCAAAGCTGTCTGAGACATACACACCTATTTTGAAGCCAAATACGAAAGAAACTTCTGTTGATTTCTAATCTTCCTTTCCAAGCTCATCATCAGTGATCATAGTCTTCAAATTCAGCCGCTAGTCCAAAGCCCAAGTAAAATTTTGCTTGGTCTGGTACATCCAGCAAACAATAGTTCATATATTTACACTTACAATCTACTGAAATTGATGCCAAGAGACCATTTCAAATAAGCAGATTCAGTGGGGTTTTTTGTTTGGGGGCACAAAACTGTAATGATAATCTTGAAGTCATGAATAAAATATGAAAATTATGTCAACAGACAAGTATGGGACAGATTTTGTTCAGATCAAAAAGTGATTGTCAAACACCTGAGAACCCCTGATGACCATGACAATGCTTAATTACTTAACTACTGGCAGCGAACAAGGTCTGACAAATGTGCTCTCCCACACAATAAATGCCAGTGAAAATGTATCAGGTACATTCACATAAAACAGGCTAATAATAATATTCACATTTCTCGAACACTGAGTGAGGAACTTGGTTTCAATATCATTATCAATGTTTGACATAATGCATGAAAGTCATGGCGTCCTCACAACCCTATCGTGAAGGCTAAAAGTTGATCATGTTGACGGGTCCCTAGATTCAAATACCATAGGAACATATGGAACCTCAAAGACCCCAGGACCCGCCTTTGACTTCAAACACTGAATATAGTTCTTTGACATTGATCATGTCACATTAGACCTGACTACAGACACTTGTTATCAGTGAATTGTCACGCAGTTTACAAGATGTCTGCATTTGCTGTTAACAGTGTGACTGTGACTGTGACCGAGGAATCAGCAACAGCAAGATAATGGAAGGGGTGGCTGTTGATAGCCCACAAAGAGTCTGATAACACACCTTCAGCCGGAATGTGTGGGGGTGTTCAGTTGCCACGCTTGGTAAACAGGCAGACATGTGATTTCATAAATAGCCAAAATAGCAAGTAACAAAAAAAGTTCATCAAAATGGGAGACGATCAGTTGGTACTCTCACCAATACTATGACCTCTGTGACCCTATTTGATTGAAAGTCTACCGTATTTGCTGTAATAAGCATGATAAGTGCCCTGGTCACTAAGAAAATTTATAAAGGGGGTGAATAACTAAACAGTAACTTGACACATCAATGTTATATTTTGTTTGTTTGTTTGTTGTTTAACACCGCACTCAGCAATATTCCACCTATGGACGGCGATCTGTAAATAATCTAGTCTGGTTCAGACAATCCTGTGAATGACATCATGAGCATCGATCCACGCAATTGGGATGCGATGACATGCATCAACCAAGTCAGCCAGCTTGACCACCCGTTCCCGTTAGTTGCCGTTAACGACAAGCATAGTCGCCTTTTACGGCAAGCATGGGTTGCTGAAGACCTGTTCTAGATGTTCAAGGCATGAAAGTGCAATATAATCAATGTGTACATGGTGTAGCGGGGACAGAAATCTCGTCAGCTAGCCCGAGTCTGCATCTAGATTACTCTGCAGTTAAAGCTATCCTTAGAGCTAGATGAATTTCATGTTTTTTATGGGTCGTCTTCCTGTGTTGTACTTATTGGGGTGAGTAAACATTTCAGGTTATTTCACACAATTGTGCAATGTTAGAAATCTGCTGTTACTAACTTAACATTAATCATGTTAATAGAATCTTTCAGAAAGGATTTGAAAACTGCATTTGGGATGAACCATTTGATATTCTGAGCGGGGTGGTGGGGTGGTCATGGTGGTGGGGGCTGGAATTTTGTATTGAGACCAGATATTTTTTCAGCTATAACTGCAAAACAGGATATATTTTTTTCTAAAAAACACATTGCAACAATGTCATTTTTGTCGCAGATAAAATCACAGGCCACTCCTCGAATATTAAATGGTCAGCCCCTTAGGCCTCTTTGGTTACTAAGATACAAATAACATTGGGTTAATGCACGTCATGACATGGTAACCCTATCCTGTAGATCAATGCTTATGATGGTAATCCAGGATAGAGTCATTTACAGATTGCTGTCACATGGCTGGCATATAGCAGAGTGCAGTACAAAGCAACAAACAAACACTGTATTCTACTTTGATACTGGGAGAGAGGTTCCACTGCAACCAAGACAAATATGTCTATGTCAGCTTATAGTCAGGGTTCCAAACTGAGCCAAAACGACAATGGGTCCCTGTTGTGACTCTATGTTAAAAACCGAAACTGACTAGTGATCCGTAGATTCAAAGACAACACTAGTACTCCAGGGCCCACTTGCACAAAGCAATCTTAGCGCTAAGACTATTGTAAGCCTATGTTAAAGTATGGGCGTTATGATCATCTTAGCGCTAAGACTTTTGTAAGCCTATGTTAAAGTATGGGCGTTACGATCATCTTAGCACTAAGATCGCCTTCTGCAAGTGGGCCCAGGACCACCCTTACTTTCAAACACTGGGAAAGGGTTTTTTCAAAATATCCCTGAACAATAGCTTAAACATGTTTAAGCTGGATGATGAGAAATCTGAATTATGAACATACTGCAAATGTTTGCATCAAAAACTTACAACAAAAAGTCAAAGCCCCTCTCACTGACTTTAAACTTATTTATAGTTGTGTGTTGCAAGTCATTTACCTTATTTACCTCGTCTACCATGTTTACCTCGTGACACATACGCTCGGCATTCTGTTCATCTGCATCATAACCTACTTAAAGGTAGGTCAAGCGGTGAAAAGTTAATGTTATAAATGGAATGCATGCTGTTATTGCCTATGAAATTCAATAGGAGAGCTGGTTATTAATAACATTACCATGTGGTAATAGAATCAGTTGTTTTCATACTGCCCAGGGTAACCAAATTACACGTATGCCCATTATCATGTGGTTGAGGTAATGCAAACATCAAATATCAAAGTTCAGTACTACTTTGATGTTGTGGATTAATGAGTTATCGAATTAGCAATGAATAATAACAGCATCAAATATTATCATACCCAGTCTCCCATTAGGCTAGGAAAAATAAATTGGATATTCTCATCCCCATCTCCATCAACAGCTGATCACTTCAATCACTTTTACTTCTCTACTCAACATAATCAACAATCATGACAGTCACTGATACTGATAATCATCTTATTTTTATTTTAGAACACATTTTTTTAAATGTAAACAGACTGTAAGTAATATGACAAGAATCCATTGTAAATTCAAAACCTCATTTTAAATTCATCTTGTACATGGTTTAAAAACAATGAAGTTCAAAACCAATTTTTTATCACTCAATTTTTACGGTATATATGATTTTCACCATTTTTGTCATTACAAAAATGGAAATATAATGCCACGCATACTCTGTACACAGGAATTCTTAGCTGTACATAAAATATCAACTTTTTAATCCCCGTGTCCCATGATTGAGATCTCGAAGATACATGGGTTAATATGTCAATTGATATGTACAGTTGTGAATTCCTCGTAGAATTCAAAATTAAGCAGGGGGTACTTGTAAAGTTGAAGGTTTGTTGGGTCCTGGAGTCATCAGATTCAAACACTGCCAGTGATCTATATCGTTCATGCAATGTTCCAACTTAAATGAAAATCTATGGGAATTGTCATAACCCTAAAGTTAAACTTTAGAGATGGAGGGGTTCTCCACTGTCAAATCATAAGATAATATTTATAGCAGAAAATATTCTATTACTAAAACATTATGATTCACATACACACATACATACAGTTATTCATGAAGGAGCAAATCTCTGTTCATGTAAATATAGAATTGAGGCAATGTGTTGTAACCCAATGAATCTGTGTGTCATTCTCCACTCCCAGGTAGAGATATCAAAGACCACAAAACATTCCACCAAAGCCTTACGCAGCTCTTGTCAATAGCAACAGCCTATCACTGAGATATGCCAATTGTAAAGTACCCGGAATGCCAATTGTGGGTGTACCGTTGACATAGTTTAAGCTAGCATATAAATATACATTCGCATATCGGGTAACCTAGAATCAAGTTCTGGTATCAAACTTGAATATATTATTTCACAGCTTAGTATCAGTTATACATGGTTCTTACTAAGCAAATCTATGATATGAAATATATAATTTTGCTTACTTGTCATGTTATTTTTAAAACAGTATTTGGGACGCATGCCAAATTTTCATGGTAAATCTGCCATTTTAAAATTTAAAGAAATAATTCTGCTTTTAAATCTTTTACCTGCTTTTGTTTTTCGGTGCATGTCTATTTATTTAATTTCAGTTTGGAACTCTCATTCAGCTGGATAGGTCTACATCAGCAACAGGTTTTGTCTTGATTTCGTTATGTTAGATAGGTTGCTGATTTTCTTCTAAAAGAAATCCGGTTGTCACCTAAAAATTATGACAAAAGGATTTTCACTATCGCTAATATTGTTAATTGCAGATGTCAGGTGGACAGGTGGTGAATGTCACGTGGCAGGGCATGCATTGTTCTCACGTTCAATGAATCGTGAAGCCGACCCAGATACAAAAACGTAAACAAGAAACATTCATAAGACACACTTAGAGATCATGCATCTAGGCCTATTGTTTGAAATGAAATCTTCTGAAAAACAATACCTACCCATCCACTTTGACCGGAAATCCATTGTGATAAATTATTGTCTGCATATGTAGAAACCCAGTCAATTATTGAATCCACAATCTGGGGCATATCTTGCTCAAAACACCTCACTGCGAGGGAGCCCCCGAAAGTAAACAAAGCGACCACTCGGCCCCAGTTCACACCATCCGCGAATAGCTCATTGACAATTGCATGAAATGTTGGATACGCTGTAGTTGGCGTAATATGCAACTGATTTCCCATTTCTTCAAACTGACTCCGGTATCTCTCCTCGAATTCATCGCCTATACTACGCATAGTGTTGCAAACTCTGCTAGCCCCATTTTCCATCGCAGGTCCATTTTGCCACACGTAGCCATTTCGTTCCAGACGATATTTGACATAGTCCACAACAATATTCCGCGTATCCATTGTGTCTCCTGGATTATTATTGAAATACATTTTCACAAATCATTGCTGGATATTCGTAAATGTCTGTGGGAGCTTCACACACCATTACAGAGAGTAGCCGGAGCCGGTTTCCACTAGCCCTTCCTTTGCCACTGAGCTCGTCTGTCAGTGAATGAAGCCGGTCAAAGGTCACGGGTCGAAGTTGAATCTGTAAGAGCCAATGATATTGTTGAAATTGTGAGTTAGGGCTACTACTTGAATACTGACTAATAACATATCACGCAGAACATTCTAGAATCATCTGTCGAACTCGGAGTAAACACATTCCCAATGCTAAAACAATAATCTATTAAAATTGTTCCTCAAAGTGATGTTTACTTCACATATATATTGACAAAACCGGAAGATTATTCTGGTTGTATCTTTACACTCAAATCAGTATTTTCTTCTCCATTTATAATCTTCGTCAAAATCCCAATTATACATTCACAGATAAAACAGTTAACAGACAAACATGAAGCCAGTCAACGGCCTTGTCTAACACAATATCCGAAAAAACGTTGAAATTATGAGCCATAAGACATAAGACTGGTACCGGGGCAATCCCTTTTGTCCCTTTTTTTTAATGTGAGAGTATTAATCTATTTTTGTGAAACAGCAAACCGATTCAATGAACTCATCTTGAGTCATAATTAACTGCGCCTTGAATTCCCAAATTAAACAGAATAAAATATATTTCCAGTTTTTCATTCCCTTCTTAACTTTATTCAGTATGATCATTATGTTTGTACTCATTCTTAATTGCTAAGTTCACATGTCCGCGTTGTTGTCGCACGACGATTCAACCAAAGCTCAAGCAGTTATTCTGTTGCGTCATAACAAATTGATTCAAATTTATTTAAATATATTTTTAAAAATTTGAATATCCTTCTAAAGGGGTTACTAATTTGGGCAAATAGGCAGATCTAGCAAGTTTGGTTCTATTCGTTCACCTATCACGTCGTATAAGAGGTGAGGTGAGGTGAGGTGAAATTGGGTTTAACGTCGCGTCCAAGATTATTGCACTTATATAGCGACGTGCATGCACGTGTATGTGTGTGTGTGGCTGCTTGTACTAGTCCGGACTGATGCCGATTTATAGTGCTAGCTCACTGAGATACCATGCCGCAGTTTAACATGAATACCCCACTCAGACACAGTATACTGACTCCGAGCCGACCAGTCCTTGTTTTAGCCCCTTAATGCCGAGCGCCAGACAGGGTAACAACAAGTACAATCTTTTAATGTCTTTTTGTATGACGCGGCCCGGGATCGAACCCTGGACCTTCCGCTCTCCGGGCGGACGCTCTACCACAAGACCACGGAGGCGGTCACGTCGTATAAGAAAAAGTACAGCTTTATGGATAACAACTTCTGGTTTATTGCATATAGCGACGTTTCGATGTACATTCTTACACCGTTATCAAGCTGGAGTGAGTGAGTGAGTGAGTTGGGTTTAACGCCGCTTTTAACAGTATTCAAGGTATATCACGGCGTGTCAGCTTAATGTGGGAGGAAAGCCCGAAGTGATGCAGGTCTCAGACGTTTACCACTTCGGTGAAACCAACGAGCACGGGTATGGTGCTGACAAACCTAGAAACATAATCGGGGCGAACAGGGAATTGAACCCACAATCCCAAGGGACGCAACTCTGCACAGCGAATCACGGCGCCTTAGACGACTGGGCCACCCGTGCCTCCCTCAAGCTGGAGTGTCTACAAGCAAGTGATGAGATATATGTGCATGATATGTTGTGATAAGCAGATTAACATTAACAACAACAGGTAATAGATAAAAAGTAGCATACAGATATATGTTGTTAAACAAACATGCTTGTTTGTTTGTTTCTAATTATTCTAAATACAAATAGACATAGCCTTGCACACACGGCACTAATGACTAAAATCTCATTAAAATCATTTTTTCCCACTACGATCGGATACGTTTCTATGTGAGGGGCATCGCATCGGAGTAAAAATTCTGGTATTAATGAGATTGTGATTACAACGTCGCTTCAGATACAGTCAGTCAGCCCACATTATGAACCGAGAATTTCTTTTAGAAAGCGGTTAAATGTAACATATGTTATATTTGGGATTACACTTTCTTAGTTCCAGTATTTTGTCGGGTGCAGTCCCACCCGGGATTCGAACCCATGCTCCCACATACTTTCTCATCATGGTTTCAGGGGCGGGCGGGGAGCCTAGTGGTTAAAGCGTTCGCTCGTCACGCCAAAGACCCGGGTTCGATTCCCGACATGGGTACATTGTGTGAAGCCCTTTTCTGGTGTCCCCCGCCGTGATTTTGCTGGAATATTGCTAAAAGCGGCGTAAAACCATACTCACTCACTCATGGTTTCAGGATAAGGTTAATCTGGATAGAGCGGGGTGGTTCACATTCGTGACCAACTCGTGTTATTCCGGGACAAGTCTTCTTGCAGGTTACGGAAAGGGGCGAGTGGTGACGAATGGGGTGGTTCAGTGTTGCTTTTTACGCTCTCAAAGACAATGACATAATTAGGATGAACATGGCTAGTTTCACTATCTCAAACGAATTCGGGTTTGTCTCGAAAAAGCAAATAAAATCCAGGAAATGCGTCACATACGAATAGGTGCATATATCAGTTTATGTCCTGTTTGTCTAACGATACGACATTTCAAAATACAAGCTAAGAATTATTTTGTCTTAAATAAAATAAACATATTAACTTGAATATATACTGGTATTTGTTTTTATGTAGGGCACTTATAAATACCCAAACACTTCGTGAGTGTATTCATTGTCGAAAAATATTTTATCCGAAAACAAATATTTCGAAAACTCGTCAAGGCCCGTATGTGAAAATGATATTGGTTGCTTGACAAAATACAAAGGGAGGTGTTATTGAACTCAATATGGCCGATGAGCTCACAAAAACCGGGATGAAGAAAGAACATGCTTATACGACGAAGTGGGACCTTTACATTAAACTTTCGCTGCGCGTCCACTCCTTATGCGTCGACAGACGGCCAGTGTGGGCCCAGTCATGACGAGCTAGTTGTTAGGAAACTACTACCTTAGACTTACACGCTGAGAAGCAACATCTCTGTACTACATTAATTTGTAAATTTATCTCAAAATGCAGTACTTTACTGAGTTGTAAATGCAACCTGCTCATAGTTTTTATATATCTATTGCAGTTTATAACCAAACTGTCAATTTGGGATATATGAAATAAATTGTCATTGATATTTATTAGCAAAGGTGAAGGCCGGATATTTATGGATTCTATAGCTTTGTTCAAATAACAGTTCCGCCACACTTTCAGGCCAAGCGCAGCGCCGTGGCAATATTGTCACAGAAAGCGTTTTTGAATACAAGCTTTTTTGTTTATATATTAATCATTTGGTTGTTCTTCAGAGTAGATTGTTGGCATTAGTGTGTTTGTCATCCATCTTTCCCATGACTAGATTTCCTGTTTTTATCAACACCGACTAATTGACAATATTCCACCTTAGTTTGTTTGTTGTTTTGTTGTTTAACGCCGCACTCCAGCAATATTCCAGCTATGTGACGGCGGTCTGTAAATAATCGAGTCTGGACCAGACATTGCAGTGATTGATATCATGAGCATCGATCCACGCAATTGGGATACGGTGACATGCATCAACCAAGTCAGCGAGCCTGACCACCCGATCCCGTTAGTCGCCTCTTACGACAAGCAGGGTCGCCTTTTACAGCAAGCATGGGTTGCTGAAAACCTATTCTACCCCGGATCTTCACGGGTCACTTTTCATGCAAAAAGTGTGGTCAGATGCATATGTTAGGGGGTCAAGCTTTATATGGATCTCACCATATTATACAGGACATATATTAACCTGAGCATATTGATGTTAACTGGCATTGTCTAAAGCATCAGGCATCTCTCTCTCTCTCTCTCTCTCTCTCTCTCTCTCTCTCTCTCTCTCTCTCTCTCACATATGTGACGGCGGTCTGTAAATAATCGAGTCTGGACCAGACATTCTAGTGATTGATATCATGAGCATCAACCAAGTCAGCGAACCTGACCACCCGATCCCGTTAGTCGCCTCTTACGACAAGCAGGGTCGCCTTTTACGGCAAGCATGGGGTGCATAGAGTTCCCTTCACAACAAATGACTCACAACCACACCCGGAAACGTCCGTATCCATGTCCGCGACGGTCTGTCATATGTCCAACGTGTCATGATTTTGTCAGTTTGTAACGGAACAAGTACACCTGAAGAGGACACAGTTACAATCTAGACACGTTGTACTAGGTAAACACGGAGCACGGGGTCTTGAGTAGAGGTTGGGTGGGGTTTAACGCGCGCGTGCATGTATGTGTGTCCAAGTACTAGTCCGGACTAATGCCGATTTTATAGTCCACTGAGATACCATGCCACAGTTTCACATTTATACCCCACTTAGACACTTGTTTTATACCCTTAATGCCGAGCATCAGATAGGGAAACAACAAGTACCATCTTTTGACGTCTTTTGGTCTGACGCGCTGTGATCCACGGGGTTGTAAAATCGTACGTGCGTTACATAAATGATATTTGAGTGACCTGAGTCAACCGAGATTACACCATTTCTGTCACCAGGATTTCTGTCACCAGGATTACTTTGGCCAACCGAAGTAGGACATAAATCAGTTAACATGTGCTAACTCTGGTCAATATAACGTAAATCAGTTAACATGTGCTTACTTTGGTCAACCGAAGTAGGACGTAAATCAGTTAACATGTGCTAACATTGGTCAACCGAGGTAGGATATAAATCAGTTAACATATGCTAACTCTGGTCAATATAACGTAAATCAGTTAACATGTGCTAACATTGGTCAACCGAAGTAGGATATAAAGCAGTTAACATGACTGTGCTGACATTGCTCAAACAAGATTAACCTGGGTTTTACCACGGTCAACGCGGGTTCCCCCTAATTAAAATCAGATCTCAGTTCTTTAGCAACAACCGCCTCCGTGGTCTAGTGGTAGAGCGTCCGCCCGGAGGGGTCATACCAAAAGACGTTAAAACATGGTACATGTTGTTACCCTGTCTGGCGCTCGGCATTAAGGGGCTAAAACAAGGACTGGTCGGCTCGGAGTCAGTATACTGTGTCTGAGTGGGGTATTCATGTTAAACTGCGACATGG